AAATAAAGGAACTGTACTAGACTGGACTGTTTCATCATTGTTCTTGGGCTGGGCCTGACATACATGTCTTCTACAGCAGTAGTTTTTGAAGAATGCTCTCATATGGTGCTTTGATTAAGTAGATGCCAGGAACATTTTACCAATTATATATTATTTAAAGAACTTTCATTACTGGATAGTATAGCAGTATTACTATACTAAAGATAAATGTAGTGTCTTTCAAGTCAAGATCGACTTCTGGTAGACTTTATGGATACAGTTTTCTGGCAGCAACACAGAAATAATCCATCACTCCTTTCTTCAGTGATGTTTCTGGGGAATTCCCAGTCAAACCTGTACTTTGTATTCTCCTATCCAATTATTCACTAGGTCCAACCTTGCTTAGCTTCTAAGCTCAGGTCCTCCATTGGCTGATACTACAATAATAAGTTACTGAGGCCAAGCCCAAGATGTTTAGGAAAATGCTCTTGAAAATATGCAACCAACTCCATACTTACCTGTTTGTGACGCTGTTGTATCCAGTGGTTCACTATGAGTATTATAAGGCAACTGCAGCTTTACACTTGACTTGGGCAGAAACCTGATTTCTTGACTCTTGGTTGAAAGCTTTTTCTGAAAGCTCTGGAAGTGGCCAACTCCTTGGCCAGGAATTGCACTAAAAAAAAGGAGGTGGAAATAGGAAAGTGGATTCAAATCCAGGACTTGCACAGCACTATGCTGCATATCTTAGGCAATGCTTAGTTGTAGACTGTTTTTTCCACAAAGAAAATTGAAGCTACTTTATTCATAGTGCTAGTTTAGGATATCTTGATCAATTTCATTTGGTCCAGTAGCAGTTTCTATGTGGTTGAGAGGAAACCAGCACACTGCATGTTAATGAGATGTGGGCATCAGGGATGCCTCTAATAATGCAGAGGCTAGAGAGGCACACAGGAAGGAAAAAGCAAGGAAACCACAATAAACAACTCGACTTGATCGAGATGCATTTCCAAGTATTAAGCTGCTATTAATCTAGTCTCTCCAGATGTGTTAGACTGAAATCCCCAGCAGCTCCAGCTAGCATGGCCATAATTTTACATTTAGGAATTCCAGAGCCTGGATTTTCTCAATATCTTGATATTGAATTTTTAAAGAGCATTAAAATATTTATAGGGATATCAGTTTGTGAAAGCTCAAAAACTTTCAGCACTCTCCTCTGCAAATCTGCATTGCAGCCAAATTGCTTGAACTTCTTACCTAACCACAGAGGTCATCCCTTGAGCAGGCTGGGAAGCTGATGGGAAGAAATCCACTTCAGGTAAACCTTGGAGCATATGAAAGCAGCCATTTCAGATAAGACTTTTTAAAATTATTCAAGTAGTTTAAGAAGTGGTTTCATACCCAAGCAAACCTATGACAAAGTCCACTTCATGCACTTCAGAGCAAAAGAGAAAAGCAAGAAACAAGAGTGCTATGGTCTCTCTGATGAACACATTGGAATGATACATGAATTTTAAAGCATTTTCATTCCCTTTACTTTTGTAGTTTAGCTCAAACATGAAATGTGCAAAGTTGCCCATATACAAGTCACTGTTATTACACTGTTACACACAAGGAACTGAAACTAGGAGATCATTTTGTTCTAGCTTCAGTCTCCCACAAACAAATCCCAATATTTAACTGAATCTTCTCTAAAACATTAAGATTAACCCATGTTATGATCCCAGATTTGACTTAGGTTCAATGTGACACATAGTGGGAGAAGATAAAAGTTGCTGTCAGATGACCAATCCTTTTTCCTTTAGGTCTAATTATTGTACTGTCTGCTATATTCAGTCTTACCTGAGTTTTGCTGTAATTTTGTAACCCATTCTTTCATGAGTGGCTCAGTTGGAGCTCTGAGAAGATACTTGGAGCCGTCATTCAACCTAGATATTTGTGTGAGAAAAAGTATAGATCAAGGTAAACCAGACTTGGAATCCATTGTCATATAAGTCAGTACTACTTTTATTGTAAAGCTATAGTAACAGAACCTTCTGGATGCACTTCCCCCTCTCTCCCTCCCTCCAATTTCATGAGAACTAGGGAGGGTCTTGTCTGAAATGTTTTCTCAGGATACTTTCCCGCCCTGGGCTCAGTCCTCTTTTATCTGACAGTTGTCTTGGTAGTGGCTCTTCCTCCTGTCTCTCAAGGCCATTTCCTCTATCTTCTACATATGATATCATAAAAAGTACTGTTAGAGTTTTGGAGACTGGTCCAGACAACTCCATAGAATGCTTTCCAATTCTGTAATTCCTGTCCCTAAGATACCTGTGAGTAGAACTGTTAGTTGATAGCTGGCTACATTCCAGTGATGTATCTCAATGGGAATTAGGACATAAGTAATAGGTAGAAAATAACGTATCTACCTTCCACATTACCACTAGTTAAGAGATGGGGATGGCTGAAAGTTGTATGTGAAGCAGTAACCAATTTGTGCTAGAATTCTGAAAAGATGTTGATTCTGCTCCCTTCAGGAAATTCAGTGGCACAATGGTATGTCCTAGAAGTCCGATGGGGAGCAGAGAGATGACAAACCACCTGTCCCCTTCCCCAGAAACTGATCACAGTGAATGAGTTCCAATTTCTCACTGCTGGAATATATACACACATGTAATTATATAAGGGACAGCATCTGTTCCAAATGCCCAGCCACCTGGGAACTAGAATGAAATTTTCCAAATTCTAACATCACCTATACCTGAAAGGACTATATGCATCCAGCTATCTCATACAGGAGTGAAAGACTGATGCTACTCACTGTAATGTGAAACAATTGCTCTTTTTGGTGTATTCTGTTTCCAGGGTGCAAACAGCTCCAGACAGGTTCAATGGCAAGGCCATCACAGAGCTCTGCTGTGCAAAGAAGGTAGGCATAAAGTCCCCACACTTGAAAAGTGTTACTTCTAACTAAGCCACTATGGAACAGTACTTTCAGGTGTGCAAGCATTCCTTTCCCTGGAATAGGGGAACCATTCCCAAGGTTTAGCTGTTGCTATCAAAGAAGTAAACTAGTACAGATTTAATCAAGAAAAAGCTTGAGAATGGGACCATCAAAAAACTGAAAAAAGGAATGATCCAGGATTCTGGCTCTGCATTTCTGTTAATTTAGACACAATGTAAAGGGCAAGGGCCTCTTTGTGCTAATGTTAATTCTTCTTGCTTGATGGATCAATGTTATTATTCTAGAGAGCCTATGCAGGTACCTTTTATTCTATGAAAGTTTCATGGGTTTTAATAATTGCCATTTATAACTAGGCTTAGTTTTAATGCAGCTATGGGTGGTTTGTATTCTGCTATTGCTTAATGATTGTATTATGGTACATGTCATTTTAAGTTTTATTTTGGCAAAAATTCAGCTAATTTCGAAAACTAACTAAATAAAATCAATATAAAGTGTTTTCAAGTAGATATACTTAATGACCTTGTTCATAAAGAAGGATGAAGGATTATGTAGGATATAAAAATGGTGGAGAAACAAATTCAAGCAGAATTAAAATGGAGAAGAAGAACACTGTTAATGTTTGGCAGAGACCTTTTTATATTATACCTATTCCATTTCTCATGGAGAAAATCTATCTATGCGGTTGCTAGGAGGAGATGATGACTTGTTGGCAATCAATCCATCAATCATTCTATTGTGCGTTTTTTACTCTCTGGCTATTTCACTGGCCATTACCTTGAGTGTGTCTTTCTTGTCCTGGTAGAAACACAAAGTTTGTCTCATCAGAACTGTATGAAATGTGTTCCAGGAGCGACTATTTGCCTGAAAGAACAGAAGTCCAAGGTCAGATCTAAAAGAGATGAAGATTGGTCTGAAAATGAAGTAGTAGAAGTATGAAGCCCCTTTTGTCCATACTTGCTTCTAGAACAAACTCTTTCCTGATACACAGGCCAACAAAAACAACCAATGTCCAAGAGCTCCTTTAGGGCACAAAGAGCTACATATTGGCACCAAGCAAATAAAGAATGTGTAATTCTCTGGTGATAATTTCCTCCTCTCTGGCTGGTTTGAATCAAACTGTAGTTTGCAACTTTGTTTTAGCTGACAAACTATGGTTTATACTTGTCCTGCAAACTCAGATCAAATCCTGGTTTAGTTTATATTTGAGTCATCTCACTGAAAGCATTTTGAGCTGTATCAGTATGTATTATTAGTTCCTGACAACATATTACTACAACATTAGATGAGATTGTTTCAGAGAGCCAGTTTGGTTCAGGCACCAGGCTAGAAACCAGGAGACCGTAAGTTCTAATCTTGCCTTAGGCATGAAAGCCGGCTGGGTGACTTTGGGCCAGTCATTCTCTGTGGAGTCCTTGGGGTTCTCTGAGCTTGGTTGTTTTCTTGCAAACATTCTGTTACCCGGCTAGGTAACATCTTC